CCACTCTTTCCCTACACGATCGAGCGAGGAGCGGGGGGGGGGGTGCGGAGGGGTTAGAGAGGGAGGGTTGGATGGGGAGGGAGAGGGGCCCCATTCGGCCAGGGTTCGGGTAGGGGTTGGAGGTCGCGACCCCCTTCGCCCCGCTCTGCTCAGTTGGGACCCCAGTAGCCTGAGCTGTTGTAAGCAGACTTATTCCCCTGCGATTTCTGTTGGATGCTGCTGGTTTGAGTACGCTGGCCTGTTCCGCTCTTGAGAATGGGGGTGGCGGGGGCAGAAAGAGGACGGGGGAGTAAACAAACAAGAAAAAAGAGAAAAATGTTAAAATCATTCACCGTGCGAATTGCCGCCGAGCGTACCCGATTAAACCCTTTCCGAAGCAAAGCACCACCCCCGCAACCCCTCAAAAATCAGACCTCTGGGAGTTTTATTTGTGGAGTATCTCTCTCTCAGCCTGTCCCACAACGCTGCAATGTCGGAGGCCTGGCAGCTCCCAGAAAAAGCGACCTTCTTTTCTCCCCTTACTTGCTGTTTCTCGAGGTGTCGCGGGTCAAGAAATAAAACAGAGGCTCAGGACGCAGGGGAGAAACTCATGCTCGTGGTCACCCCTTCCCCAAATTCTCCTCTTCAAGTGATGCCCACGGGAACATTTCCCTTCAACCGAGGCAGGCAGTCGAGTCAAACCGTTCACTCTGAAAGACGAAGCCCCCGATCCTCCAACACTGCAGCGTTCCCCCTCCCCCACCTCGGCGCTGACCCTCCGACAGCACCGCCCTCTCCCCTGGCACTCTCCCTCCGACAGCACCCCGCACCCGGGAATGCTGGATCGGATCTCGAGTCACGATCAGGATGACCATTGCCAGCTGCCAAAGGGCACCCGGCAACCCATCCCCTGCAGTTCAGATCGGTTCGTTCGTGTCACCAAGTCACTACAATTTGCCAGCAAAGGGCCACAGACGCAGCACTCAGCGCCAGATGGGAAGGAGGACAACATTTAACCCGTCCAGCCAGAATGCAACAGGCGGGGGACTTGACACCACACAACGTCAGCTTTTCTTTTGCGGAACGGGGTGTAAAAGCTAGAGGTCAGGAGCAGCCCTCGCCCTGCATACCTGGCCGTCCTGTTGGAGATGCAGGATCTGCGAGTGCATCTGCTGCTGGTGCGGCGCCAAGATGTGCATGAATGGTGGAGGGTAGCCGGCAGCGGTGGCAGGGTTCACAGGGCCCGCACTGCCCAGTGCCGATGGCAGGTTGAAGGAGGCAGCCGGAGTTCCAGTGTGAAAGCCCTGCTTCTCAAAAGACTGCGACAGGAGGCAAACGTGAGAGAGACGCAGTGAGAGGAGAAGCACAGAGAGCAAGTGAACGGGAGGGTTGGGTGGGGGGGGGGGGGAAGAGAAAGAGAGGGGGGGGGGGGGGGGGGGGGGGGGGCAAGTTAAAAGGAGAGGGGTGGAGGTAAGAGGAGAAACAGATAGAACGTGCACTCAGAGAACATACAATATCAAAAAAAGGGGACAGGAACCGATACTGGTCCTTTCAACCCCAAACCAAACCCCTGTTACAGACTGTGTTCACTGGCCCTGCTCTGGTCCTTAAAGCCAGTTTACGTCCAACTATTCTAAACTCACACTCCAGCAAATGGCCTGTAGCTTTGTGCGCTTTGGAGTTCCACATGATCATTATACATGATCCTGCCTCTCCTACCCTTTCAGGCAGTGAGATCCAGCTACCTATTCTCCTCAAACTGCCTTGCAACTGCGTGCTCCTTCCCTTAACCTTAATGACCCCTCTACCAAGGGAAAACATTTCTCCATGTCCCTCCATTTTTTACACGTCAAACAGGACTCCCTTAGCCTTCTCTGCTTGAAGGAAAAATCAACCCCAGCCTCTCTTCGTTGCTGAATCTCTGCAGGCCAGGCACCATCCTGGTTAATTTCCTTGGCACCCCCTCCAGTGCAATCACATCCTTCCTATATTACAGAGACCAGAACTGCACACAGTACTCCAGTTGTGGCGCAATCAAAGTCCTTTATAGCTCCAACGTAACCTCCCTGCTCTTAAAAGCTGCGCCAGGACTGATAAAGTATCCCGCATCCCTCCTGAACCACCTTCGCAACCTCTCCTGCTGCTTCAAGTATCTATGGACACAAACTTCAACCAATCCCTCTCATCTGCATTCACCATGGACTTCCTTTGCCCAGTCAGTATCCAAAAATGCACCACCTCGCACTTTTCAGGACTAAATCCCACTTGTTCAGCCCGAATATATTGTCAAGGGGGTGTGAGGATTTCCTCGTGGGTTTCTGCTTTCTGTTTGGGGGAGGTAATAAAAAGAGTAGGCACGCCCTTAACGCAATCAGAGAGAGCGCGTCTTCCTTCCAGACCACCCTACTGAACGTGGGGGCAAGCCTCTTTGATCGCACTCGGTCCCCCGAGAGGTGTTTAAAATCTCCGGTGCTGCTTACCTGCTGGGTCTTACTGTACACAGATCCTGAGATGTCTGGGACACCCGTGTTGCTGGAAGTCACTGACACACCAGCTAAAACACCAAAACAAAGTGCAGTGAACAACTTGCTCGCGATGGAACTTGCTCGCAATGGGGGTGGGGAGGGAGGGGGAAGACGTCACTGGGCTAGTGATCTAGGTTCGAATCCCACAGCCAGTCGAGGGTAGGATTTTATTTCAGCTTATAAGTCTGGTGTTGGAAGCCACTCTTGAGGAACGGCGACGACAGTCATAGATTGTGGAAATAAAAA